TGCTGTATTACTAGGGGGCCTGTAGAAGGAACCAACAGCCACAGTTGAGCCACCACTCAGCATAACTTTACACCACACAGATTCACACAAGTCACTAACACCATGAATACAAACACTATTGACACTGTTATGGATCATTAGGGATACACAACCTCCGTGCACCGTGCGGTCCCTTCAGTATACTGCATAGGTCGACGGAAAAAATTCATAATCTGCGATGGTGGTATCGAGCCAAGATTCCGTGCCAAAAACTATGTGTGGTTTAGTCATGTCTAATAACGAAAGAAATTCTGTTCTTTTGTTTTTCAAACTGCGACAGTTAACTAAAAAATGTGGTAACTTGCAGTTCACACCTTTTTCTTCACTATACTGTGAGCGAATCGTTAAGTTGGCGCTTGTAACGATTTCCGAGGCCTGAAATACAGTGGACTATCAGTAAACATAAATATGTTAAACAAACTGCTGCATGGAACAACTTCCTCTGATATGATTGGTTTCATACTTGAATGCTGCAACCCACTTCACCTCTCAGTAAACAGAACTTCTCTTAAATGGAACACATTTTCTTAGGTCCCTTCAGGTACCGTTTAATGAGAGTCTACTGTAGTTTAATTTAGGCCTAAAACAGGTGTACTTTGTATTTCTAATTTTGAATATATTGGAACTATTTTGCAATCCCCTTCGAGTTTGATATATCAGGGATCGACTGTATCGCTATTCATTATTTTGAAGTGCTGTGGAGATATAAAGGGGATAAAAATCAATACGTTACTCTGAAACATTCGGTGTTTTGAAATCCGTAGTAGTGAAATATTTTTACATTAAGACAATGCACATTTGGTGGGGGTCTTTGTAGAAGTCATTATTCAGAAAAATCCTTTTTTTTTTTTTTTGAGGTAAGAGGAGACGCGGGTCTTAAAAAGGAAATTTTTTTTTATTAGAAATATTTTAATAAAGTTAGGTGTGCATGTGTGTTTCTTTCTCCTGTTTTCAAAAAATGCAATTATTGCACCTCAAGTAGTTCTAAGATTATGAGAAAATAGGTGAGGTCTAATTAGGTAATTTTCATGGGTGATGAAGGCACTTTCCCTTGATAAGTTTCCCTTGATCAGTTTAAGATGCAGCTGTAGCCAAAGATCTGCCATGCGGAGCTATGCTATTTATAATGATGCTGATATCTATCATCATATGAAAATTTTCAATTGTATTGATGCTCCATGATTCTGAAGTGTAATTTGCTAGAATTATTGTTCACAAAATCTTATACATTCAACTTAGCCATAAAAAAGTAGCATAGCTCCACAGTTTGATTCCTTACGAGTTGAACGGTATACTGTATTTACTCACGTAATCCTCGCACTTGCATAATTCTCGCACCTCCCACTTCGCCCAACAAAAAACGATTTCTTTTTTTCCTCAAGTAATTATCCCACTCCGGAAAAGCGCCGCAATAATGTTGTCTGCTTGTTCCAGCCACTGATGATGATAGCGCATGCCATAAAGTTTCATACAATAATACCTAGAGTGGAGTCTCAGGCTAGTGTCTACCCGAACTCCTTCAAAGGTGCTTGTACCCCCATAGGAATTAAGAAGTACAGGCTTCGAATCTGCTTCGGATGGATCGCGTTCTTAAGATTCGCGACGCTTCTTTTCCGAGTGTGAAACAAAGTAATATGAACTTATATTTAATTGAAACTTGCTTCATTTATTTGTACGCCAACTTCATTGCAGAACAATTTTGTGACGATGCGGCAAAAGTGAAACCTGGGCAAATTGAACCATCAGGGCATGCGTCGCTCTGCCACTGCTTTCTAGATTCGGCATCAAGATTCGATGAATTATTTTTTGCAACACTTGCAAACAAACATGCTTGTTTTTCCCTCAAAAATATGTATTATCTATTTATGGAAATAACAGTAGAGTATTAAGTGAGAAACACTTATGGTTTCGTCTTCTGAGACACTAGGTGCGTATGTTTAAGTGGTCTGCCCCCAACCAAATCTAGTTTGTTGTAAAGTCGAGTCAGCAGAGCCTGACGGTGCGTCTACTTAGCTTCGTCATAATTTTGCAGTTAATTTAAAATGAGTTTAGACAAGACGCGCTCATGAAAAAACATGAACTCAATCCAATATCCTGCACTGACATGAGACGCTACATCTATGCGCAGCGGTGAGTGGAAGACGCCTCGTTTAAACTGTCAAATACGACTCATAAAGCTCCAAAGGCACAGCAAATCTCAGACTTAGTGGCCTACAGCCTCTCTGAACAACAATGGTGCTGCTTTAGTGCTTTTCACCGCACCTCACTACCCTCACTGCAGCAAGAACGAAACTGAAACTGTAAAAAAAAAGTCAGTAGACAGTTTGCTAGCTAACCCTATCCAATCCGAAGCCTGTACTTCCCATAATTCTCACCGAGATACACGATCGCAGCGCCAGATTCCTCTCTAGGTATTATTGTATGAAATTCTATGGCGCGTGCCATCTGGTGCCATCTCTTAGGCATCAAGCCCACTATTATTGCACGGAGATCCAATCCAATCCAAGCTAAGCCAAAGTGGCAAGCGCGTGTTGCGGAGTGTTTTGAATGTAACATACAAAACATGCCCCATAATATGACAAGATTCCATTCCAAGACAACATAAAAAACATCGCCCCATAACACAAGATTAGCGACACAACATAATGTTGTGTCGGTAATCTTGTCATGTTATGAGGTGATACTGAAGCTAGACGGCTGCTTTCAAGTTGAAAGTGATCGATCATGCCCTAAACAACGGCAACAGGGCTGCCGGTAGGCCTTTCAGAGTCTACGAGTTTTGTGTTCGCTACTGGTGACAGCAGCTGAAGGCCACCAATACGCATTAGGCCTGCCGTGTGTTTAAAACTGGGATTTATGATAAACTTTATTTCTTCAGAAGGAAACTGCGGATTATTCTGTTAAATAGCCATCAGCCCAATACTGACATCCTAAGCTAACCTTTTTAGGGCTCCTGTTGAGCGACGAACGCTACCACTGCGTTCGCAACGCCCACGAGCTTTGCGTATAGTATTCAAATTCTCGGCTATTTGCTTGCACTTTTTGTGGCTCTAATCTTGCCTTGTGTTGAACCTGTGCTTTTATTGTTGAGGTAAGTTTTAATTAGTATTTCTCAAAGCTTGCTGTTAGTTCCTGGTGTGATAATCCCGATTTGCGGCCACTTCGTTTTCTTTTTCGCTCTGTATGTTTTCGTGGATTTTCCTCCCGTAATTCTCGCACCCCCCAACTTTGCATCGGTTTTCCACCAAAAAAAGTGCAAGAATCGTGCGAGTAAATACGGTACCATTTGTTAAAATTGGCTCACACATAACGAAAGCATAACGAGAAGTTCTGTAAGGCTAGTCAGGCTCACAAAAATGTGAAGCTGAGAAAATCGGATTTGAAGTTTTGACACTCACTGCAAAAATTTGTAAAAAGAATCTTCAACAATAAATATTTTTATTTAGATGTTCCATATCTGTTTTCCTGCTAAACAAAACGAAAAGTGTCTTATTTCTTCCAAGGAATCATTTAAAAACAAAACCAAGGTGGAAAGCAAGATCTGAGCCCCACCATGCCAAGTGGTTGAAGGGGAAAGGGGTCCTGAAAAAACCATGGGGTATGAGACTAAAAACACTGCTTCCTCCTTAATTAATGAGAACTCTATTTGCATTAAGCACCTGCACATCGATCATTAATTAACCACCTGGACGTTAGGCAGCATGCTGCCCTGTGTAAAAGGTCGCTGTGAGCAGAGCGTAGCTTACGCTCAGCCACGTGCAGATGTAACATCCCAAGACAGTGCAGGGTGTGCAGGAAACTGCATAGATTTCGCGTTTCTGGTAAGCCTGTTTGCAAAATCGCAGCGAAACCAAGCGTACACACCTTCACCCTTTGCTCAATTAACCGCCCGTCTTCGTAAGCAGAGCGTGACATGGGCTCTCTGTTCAGCTGCCTGCATGATCATTCTTCACACGCAGCAGATCGTAAATGTAAAGGTGCCTAATGGGCACCGACTCAACCAAACTCACGTCCCGAGTGCACTTCTAGTCGAAGCCTTTTTGTTCTGAACCTGCTTTTTAACGCTTCCAAAGGCTCGTTGCGAGGATGGTTTCAGACGAAAGTGTCCGGACGTGGATAAACTACCAGCACAAAGCACACAGTGCATTGATAAACATGCACGAGTGCAAGAGCAGGCGTACATGATCAGACAGCCACGACGGCCAACGCACAAGAAAAAAAATTTTAAATACGCATTGGTTATGCCAGCCACGTCAGCCAATGGGACCCTCTGTACAGCGCACTCAAAATGCGCGCCGAGTGAGAGCTCATCAGCAACCTGGAAACCACCTTTCGAAAACCCGATAGGGCAGCCATTCTGCTTGAACAACGCCATTTTGAGATGGCGCAAATTATGCACAAATGAAATAGCTTCAAATCTAGTTAGAGATGGCAGCGCTCGGCCCGTCACAATGTTCATGGCGTGCGCGCAAAGTTTGAACAAATTTAGTTCTCTTGGGGCATTTTACTGCTGTCGGGGTGCTGGGGCCCATTTTATCGCATTTCTCAGCCGAATTCGGCGATAGTAAATTAAGAGTAAGTGCTCAGTACAAATGCCCCGAAATTACCTTTTGCAAAAATTCCTTTTTTTTGTCTTTTTTTTTTTACATTCTAAGACCTACGTCTCCCCCTTAACGCACTCGACAGTTAGCACAAAACGTTACCATAAAGAAAAAACTACCCGACTACCATGTGAATGTAAAAGAGTGAACCCTAATAAATGAGATCCTTCACATATCAAGTTCATCCTCACTGACCTAAGTTATGCCACTTGAGGTCTACATTTGCTTCAAGTGCATCTCCAGTTTGCCAATGTTTACAGTAAGAAATGCCACAGATGTTTCGATGCAACATACATTTCCAGTTGTCAACAGTCTTGCTTTACACGCGGAAGCATTCAGCTTTAGAAATGGCTTGCCCACCTGCGCAGCCAAAGCACCAAGAAGCAATCCCATGGGATTACAGTCCCTCGCAGATGCCACGTGGTCCGACAGCAATGGGGAGCTCCGTGGCCTTCGGCCCCGCCGCCGCGAAGACGATGACGACGCCGTTCCCAGGGGCGTTCCGAGAGGCAGCCCAGCCTTGCTGGGGCCCAGGCTGGCCGGCAAGGTTTCCAAAATGTGCCGCTGATGCGCAGCAGGTGGAGGAGGCGGAGGAAGAGGGGGACCAGGGGTCAGGGCAGAGACAGGGGTCAGAGTAACGTCTGGGGACAAGTATGCAGTGCCACCGCTGGAGGCACTGCGTTTGACACACAGATCCAGGGGCATGGCACCACCATCCCCTCGTCCAGCGGTCTCACTGCTACCAGCTCCCGAGTGAGCGGGAGGCGCGGGGGAGTGACCTCTGCCGACTCCACCGCTGCTCGAAGACGCCTGGGAGGAGTGGGCAGGACTTGGGAACAGACTAGGAGAGCTCGAAAGGGAGCCCACTCCTACCGACGGCGAGGGGGATGATGACGAAGGCTGTGGCGGCATGAGACAGTCTGTCAGCTGCAATGAAGAGACCCGTTTTCAAAGGGTGAGCAGTTGCCGTATATGCTCCTCCAATAACAAGGGGAGCAACATCAGGGCTACACGGAGAAAAATAATGATGCCTAAATAGTTATATTCAGCTCAATTCGTAGCTCCCGTTCTGCAAACAAAAAGATGGCAACTGGCACCAGCGAGTCGACCGATTTGCTGCTGTTTCAAGCATCAAAGTGGCAACACTATGTGCACCAGTTAAGGGGCGACATAGCACTTGGAAAAAAAATTATTTTTTGGTCAATCAGGATGAAACTTAATAAGTTTGTGCATTTGTGTGCCGATTTCATTTCTGCAAATATTTTTTTTGTATAATATATAGTTCCTAAAACAGAAAATATTTCATGGGCATTTTGGGGAGCAAGTAAATTAGCATATCACAATTATTTAGAATCATTGTTGATTTCAGTGCAACAAAAATGGATGCTCTAAACCCATTAGAAAAAAAGTTGTGGTATGTTGAACGTTTCCCAGTGAAATCCTAGCTTGAAACTAACTCACTCACAAATGTTCACCATACCACAATATTTGTTCAAATTGATTTAAAATATCTATTTTCGTTGCACTCCAACCAGTTCTGATTCCAAATTATTGTCATATGCCAATTTACTTTGTAGCTTTCTCATTTTAGGAAAAATCTTGCTCCACAAAAGGCACATGAATTATCTTTTGTATTAAAAACTACACCTTATACAATAAAAATGACTGCATATAACCAAACCTTATTATAACAAAGAACCATCTTGCAAGAAAATAAGTCCATTATATCTCAAAATTCATCATAAAGGGTCGTTTTTAACAACCCTTTATAACTTTTTTAACCTAAAAGGGTTGTTTTAACAACACTTTATATTTTCACTTACTTCGTTAAAACCAATATTTTGTTATATCCGATTCGTTATATCTAGGTTCGAGTGTGTTTGAAATCAGCACACAAATATGGATAAACTCACCAAGTCTCATCAAAATCAGCCGAGAAATAAACTTTTTTTAAGAGCTGTGCTTTCCCTTAAAGTGGCACTGCAATGGAAATTAGCTTATTATATATTCGACCTCCATTAATTTAATACATAGACCAAACTTAGGCTGAATAACAGCTTGCTGTATCCAAAACTCTGTCATACACAGGCTCGTTATACTGAGCATAGATTGTAGCATATACAGTAAAACCTCATGACCATATTTACTCGAATGTAACGTGACTACGAATGTAATGCAAGGAACGCCTTTTTAGTGGCAAAAAAAAAAAAAAAAGAACACGAATGTAACACGAGTAAAGCAGGAGGAAAAAAGTACCTTTACTTGCTGCACACGATAGTGGCAAAGACATCGCAGTTTTTAAATATAAAGTAAGTTTTGTTCATTCGTCGCTTTCATCGCCATCACCGCTGGTGATCGAGCACTGTTTGTCACTTCCTTGCTCCCAGATGAGGTCATCTTCTGTGCCATAGTTGGATATACAGCACTTTTTCAACGCGCGAACTATCATGTCGTGCGGCAAGGAACAGACACCCACTCGGATATCTTCGTGGCGCGAAGTCGTTTTATCCTACCTGTAAAAGCCCCATCTTCTCGTATCCATTCTCCGTACAGTCCGCATTCTATCATTCTATTCTGGTTTGTTCAGGCGGATGTCTAATGGCTGCAGTATGGACATCATACCTCCAGGAATAACACCGAGCTGCGTCCGAGTTTCCGCATCAGCTTCTTCACTTCAGGTGTCAGTTGACCGTGAAATGAGTCGAGGAGTAGGATGGAGGTGGGTTAGAGGAGTGTCTTGACTCAGTCAAGCGTAAGCGGAGTGTCCATCCAACCTTTTCCTTCGCAGCGGACAATCACATCCCTGGGGAAATGCTCCTCAAGGATAGTTTTGTGCCGGAAAATGATGTATGGCGGCAACATGCGTCCATTCGCCAAGCAGACACGGTTAGCAGCATCTTCTTGTTGCCTGTTGTCCTCATGCGAACTTGAGGGTCACCTGTATCGCTAAGTATCCTTGACACGGGAGTCTGGTCCGCGTTGCCCCAATGGCACTTGTGGCGCAGGTCAAGCACATAGCGCTGAAACTCCACTAGCCTCGCTTCGCAATCTGCTGGTAGCTTCTGCCTTATCAACGTTGTTTGCCGGAGGAAAAATCCATTTCTTTGCATGAACCTTTGTGCCCATCCACGTGAAGCCTTAAAAGTTCTCCCGTAAGATCCCCATCTTTCGAGCTATGTCTCGGGCTTTCCACTGAATCAACTCAACGTTGACCCCCAATAGGAGATTTCGCTGCTCAACCACAAACTCCCACACTTTCTTTTTAGATTTCTCTGTGATGGCCCTAATGAGGTCTACAGAAGCCTTTTCTGCCAGCCTCACTCTTGAGCGCTTCACGCTGGAGCCTTCACCCACAGATGGTGCATTTCGCCACATCTAGCCGTCACGCTGCGGCTGAGTTCCCAATTTCCTCAGCCATCAGTATTGCACTTCCCTTAAAGCGGGCATCGTACTGAACTCGTCACGCTGCCATTTGCTCAAGCCAGAGTCGCAGAAGCACAAAAGAAGCGAAACGCTAGCAAAAACGTCGCGAACAATATGACTGGATTGGATTCGATGTTGCCAGCATACGGTAAGTACACACAGAAGAATAGAAATAACCAGGAACACCTAAACAAATAACCTGTCCTATCACAGCCACGTTCACGCGCCCGCCTCTAGGCACCATTAGTCAGCTAACGTCTCTAAGACGAACAGGATGTAAAGTATCGGCCGCAACGTGCACCTGCAATGTTTGCCGCTATTCGATGCTGCGTTTTTGTTGTTGGGTTTGCCGTAGTGAACTTCATAGGACACCTGCTGTGCAAGGTACAATCAGCCGGTAAGCTAGTTACACGGCGGGTTTTAAACTTAAAGTTGGTCGAGCATGCACTAGAGCATGGGAACCGAGCGCCTGGATGACACTTCAGCATTTATTTGTGCACATCCATTACGGGAGAAAACCAGAAGAGTTTCAGGCTACAAAAAAGGCCAAAACAAAAACAGTTTCCCCTTGTAGAGGACGATGTTCTTGAATGGAGGCTATGTAGTCCTGCCACTGAGTCGTAAGCCCAGAGCGGTTGGACAGCAAGTTTTATAATATCGTCATGCAAAATTTTTGCTGTTATAGTGACTTTTTCCCCCCGCATAATGAACCCTCCTCCAAAATTGGCGTGAACATTTCTCAAAAAGAGGTGTGTCCATTACGTGAGTGAATACGGTATCTCGAAGACTGTGACTTTCTGGGCCTCACTATTTCTGTAACAGGGCACGATGTTCAAAAATTCTTTACAGATTTCAACTATCACTTACTCACATACTAGCAATAGCAGTAGCTATAGGAAAAAAGAACCAGCAAGAAACCATGCGAAGTTAGTGAAGAACAACTACACAAGAGCTGGTTGCTGCCCTGTGTCTTCGCTGTCCTCGTGTGGTTTTTCGCTGGTTTTTTTTTTTTTCCTATCATTATAAACGAACTCGGCCAGAAAGCTACGTTCCTGAGCACTAGCTATAGCTACCTGATAAATTATAGCTCATGTCGACAACTCTTCAATTTCTGCCATCAAATGTTATTAGCAACATCATCTACATTCCACCTCAGTTCGATGTCTAGCAAATGAGATGCAGCGCTAAATATGTCACACTACGAAATGCGCCGAAATTTGCAAACTTTTTGAAAGTTTGCAGACAGCTGGCAGGCATGCCAGAGTAAAATAAACATGGCCAACCTTGGCAGCAGCAGCCGACGCCAGGCCGGACTCACGACGGCCCCTGCGGCTGCGGCGCCCCTGCAGGCCGCTGCGCTCTCGCACCAGACTGCCCAGGGGCAGCGTTATGCCCGGCCGCATCCCTTCGGCAGCGCTACTTCCCCCCGCCTTGCTGGCCCCAAGCAACTCCGCAGCACCCTGCCCCAGGAATGGGGGCGACAACACAGGAGGACCTTTGGCAGAGGAACCCAGAAGAAGCTTCTCCCTGCATGCAAAGAGACATGGTCCATCCAAGCACCAAACTAGTTGTACATACCTTACTTTCTTGCGTACAGCTGGCCTTACTGATTGCAAACTACAGAATGCTAATGATTAAAAATATAAGAACTGAAGATAACTTGCACATCAAAATATACAACTGGTGCCACAATACTATTATGCTTTGCAAGAAATTGGATAAAAAGTAAACACTCCATTTTTTTTTCTCAGGCTCAGTTTTATTGGTCAACAAAGACAATAACCTCCAAGTGTTCACAGTGGCTAAAGTTTCTTTGGTAAATGGTAGCAATGTTTCTTTGTAATGGTCCTTCTTCAAACTTTGAGAACACTAGCCAGAAGCCTACAAGAAGCTACCACTAACCACTTCACGTGATCGTTTACCTCAAAACAGCCACCCTCTTGGGGCCAAGAGGCAGCAGTCGACGGAAATGTCAGAAAAAAATGAAAACATTAAAAAAAGAATGATGCCTTAGCAGGTCTCTAAATAAGCAGTGTTGATCTCATATGTTTTGCACCCAGCCCCCCTCTATAACCTTTTTTTTTTTTTCCTCAAATAACACAAACACTGCCACTAAAGATAAATTACACTCACTTCACAGAATTCAGAAGAATGCTGTCTTGAAGGAGATCCAAATGTTTTGACGACCTGCTGTGGGCTGATGGAGGTAGCATTTTGCCAATAGCTTGGGAGCCATTCATACCTGGAATAAATGAAGAGCTCTTTCTGCGCATTCTGTAGAAAATAAGCTAGTAAGTTACTTTTACAGGGGCCCTGAAACACTTTTTTGAGTAACCATGAAATTAATTCACTGGAAAAGCGTATTGCCTCAAAAAGTCAATGCCACAAAAATTTTAAGGACCTGTACAGTACGAGCGGAGTTACAAAGATTTGTCACACACTGCAATCGCATTCTCTCTTTTCTTGTCTCGACGAAAGCACTGGAAGCTAAGTAGAGAAGAATGAGAGAAGCTAACAAAAAACGTCACCAAGCCTCCTGACCTTAAGCACTCCCCCCCCCCCCCCCCTTTTTTTTTCGAATGTGCAGGTTTTAAAGTGTAATCACGCGCACATGCATGGACAAGTAGTGGCCTCCTGCGGCAATCTCTGCAACGACCGAGCGTGCCATGTTCAAGTCAGCCAATGGCTGATATGCCCGGGAATGACGGGCTTACTACGAGTGATTTTTGGGCTTAGTCCATGATTTGTCGACAGAAGAGAAAGCAATTTTTAGGTGACTTTAAAAATTTATTGTGATTTCAAGGCCGCGTGCTGCACTATGATATTTAGCTCACATGTTGTTGGGAGCCTCTGCTACCGTTTCTGACCATGCTCGAAAAGTGTTGCAGGGCCCCTTTAACTGTCATGAATTAAATCTAAATCACGCACAACACACCACTTCGAACAACCACACCAAACTTCTTTACTCCCAACACTCCACCGCAAGGAGATAATATCAAAAGTTCTGGGGTGGCGATCCCGCATACCCGCCCATGTATCAAAGTGAAGCCACCACGGCCATATTGCTCAGGGCAAAAGGAGGTGGCGACTGCCTTGTAGCCAAGTAATGCTTTGGGCGCTTGTCGTCGTGCATTTCGTTATAGCTATTAACACCTGTTTATTATTCTTAGCAGGCGAGGGAACGTAGGAGGGACATTAATGCACATGTACTTTACTATTATTATTATTTTTTTCGACACAGCACTTTACGCGTGTTAAATAAAACCCCAGGCCTGCGCGGACGCGCGGACCGGGCAAGACAGTCACCGCCAAAGCTAGACAAGTGGCCTCTCAGAGCCTTTTTTAAACGCTCTTTAGGATGCTACAAGCACACAGCTGGGTACCCACAGCGCCATACATAATTATGAATTTTGTGTAGTAGGCCAGCATTCACTATTTTATATTTTGTCAGTCTTTGTAGAAGCATATCCGCTACACACTTGTTGGAAATAAATTTTGTGCAATTTTTTTATACAGTGGCTGACGACGATGAAGAAGAAATATTCGTGAAGTGGGTATCCTGCCAGAGTTAACAGGTTATCAAAAACAAGTTTTCTAATAGGGTTGGAGCATCGGATGACCCAGTCGTTTCGCAATTTGCATTATGTGACACCTGGCTGTTCTTTCTAATACGCTTAATTACTCATATCAACACGATTCCTTTTCCGACATCAACCCTGCGAGTTTAAAAATAAGGCGAGTTTAGAAATAAGTTCCAATCACTGGCGTGCCTCAATTGTAGAATACTGGGCTGGCACTCAGCAGACCCGGGTTCGAATCATATGTCATCGGTGTTCTTTATTTGCTGAGTTCATAGCACTAGCATGGCTCCGTGGTAGAATACTGGAAAGGCACGCAGCAGACCAGGGTTAGAATCCCATTGTGTCATTGTGTTTTTTTTTATTTACAGAGTTTTTTGCGTTCGATACTGGTTACGGGTGGCGGTGGCAGTGGACAACAATGGCGCCACGTGTGACCCGTGTTCTGTACGTCTCATAACAGCTTTCATGAATATCATGGATATCAAGTATTCATGGATATCAATTTGTATATATGTTTACACAGTTACCTCACAGTAGAGGTAACTAGTTAGGACCATGCAGTGAAAATAAAGGTTTCACTCGCACACAACCATAAGCTCTTGGCGATCAACAGTGCAGCAAGTGTGCAAACTCATTTTATTGTGAGAGGGGTGGGGGGGTATTGGATACCTGGAGAAAACGATGCTTGGAAAGCTTCTGAATCATTCATCTAATATGTTCTGCTCCATTATCTGGTCAATAAAATTCTGAGAAGCCTCAAAATATATATTTCTGAAAAGGCCTCATTGGTACTGCTACGATGTCTTACCCTTCTTTTTCAACAGTTAATTGTACCTCCTTTGTGATTATTTAAATTTTTTATTCTTTTTTTTTGCCTGTACCACTCCTTTATGGGTGAAGTTTCAGGGTGGTGGGATTTCGACAGCTCCATCAATGAGAGGCCCTTTAGGCAAAAGTGTTTATGTCTCTGACTTTTCAGAGGAACTCGTTTCCTTTTTCTCCTACTAAAGAGAGGCATATCACAACATCAGAAATTTTGGTATTGGGAGATAGTGCTCATGCAAACATAAGAAACTCAAAATCCCAGAAATGCAGAGCCGGTCTTACATTAACTACGTTTCAAAAACGAAGCGCTCACTTGTATTACGCACACTCACTGGTTTTTGTAAGTGCCCATGGAAACGATGCAAACACATACGGTAGTAAAGTTACAAGGCCGTCGTCTCGCTATTTACCCTGTCTCATCGAAGCAGCCTGCTTCAACATGTGTACTGAACCAAGGCATTGACTGTACATGTCATTGTCATCACCCGGCACCTGGTGTAGCCTGTCAGGTGAAAAACCAGGCATACCTCTCCAGCTCCCCTTTAAAATAATTCTCTCTCTGAACATAAGTCGTCATTCTTTTCTTGGTGCTTAATTAAGCTTCTCACCTCAGAGCACACTCTCATGTGCCGGGCAATATGACGTCTTTGGAATCCTGAAACGTACAAAAATTATTCAAAGTGTCTCTGTGCACTCGGACACAAAAAAAAAACCTATGTACTCGCGAATGCAGTCGTATTCGCAAAAATATGGGAGTAAAAGGGAGCGAGCGAAGCATGCCTACTTACAAATCGAAAGTTGTGCCCAGTGTTCGCACACGATTCACACAGCCAAATGTCACCCAAGAGCCCACCATCGTCGTCTCAAAAGTGATCACAGACGTGTTCAGAACCACCTTGTTCAATTAGAGGCACCACACGCAACTTTACTAGCACAAAAACAATGTGAAAGCCACGAACGCTACAGTGCGCCCATCCGCTTTCTGCCCTGAGGGATATGGCAGAGTGTCGGATTCAGCTCCAGAGCCCCTCCGCTACTCCAGAAGTTTAAGTATAACCTCCTTGCTCTACCCTAACCCTTTTTCTCTCCGTCCCGATGATGATGCTGATGATGGTGGTGGTGGTGCTATCACGTAGTGGGCTCTCTCAACCAAGTACCGATGATGATGATGGTGCCGTCACGTAGCGCCCTCTCTCGGCCACCCTCACAGCCCCCCCCCCCCCCCCCCCTAAAATGTGAAGCCATTACTACACATCACCTGCCGCTTCATGGTAGAGTTTGTGGGGGTGCTGACACTCCCTGTAAGGTTGTTGGCACCGTGTGGCGAATGTGTCTCGCACAGAAGCCGTATTTCGGGGGTGACAACCGCCAGACGATAGATGGCGTTGTGTTCACGTTGAGTACCACTGTTGGTGGAGTGGTAGCGCCGGCGGTGACCCCTGGCGGAAGGCAGGCCTTGGTGGTGGGCGAGAGTGGAGCGAGTCTCTTCTGCACGTGGCGGCTGCCGCGAACGGTTGTCTCTAGCGTGGGTCCTCGGCACGTGGTACCGCGGGCCTGCGCGTGGGGGGGCCCACGTGGTAAGTCAAGCGTTGGCGATGCCGCCTTGGGTGTGTTATTTTGTGTTCGTCATGTTTAGGAGTGTATAGTAATATTGTGTACGGATGTGCTAGCGTGTCAATTACAGCTGATGTATCAATTCAGCGGACGATATCATTATAAATTAGTTAAATAAATATATGTTATTTGGTTTGTACCGACCGCGTCTTCTGTGTCCGTTCACTCCAAGAGCGTGGCGTGGCGAGGCGCTCACCCCGTTGAGACCCCACAAGTTTCAGCTGATCTGCGTGTCTTACACCGTGGCGACGTCCCGTTTTGGGGTTCACTAGAACAAAGTCATTCCGTCTTACACATTTGACTGCGCGAAAGGGACCAGAACATCGGTGTGCGAGCTTCAAGGTGAAACCTTTGGCGGCATCGCTGAGGGAGTGGCTTTCAAGCAGAAAGAGGTCACCCATTGTCAGTGGCTGTCTGTGCCGGTCGTAGCAAGTCTTCTAGGCGTGCCACATGCGGTCCTGGTGTGCTCTAAAGAAGTCAAGCACCTCTTGTAGACACTTCGAGACCTCAGTAGAAAATGCACATTATGCTGTCGCAGGTGGCTCCGCACCATCTCTAGGATTCAGCCTCTGTCCATGGGGTTCTCAGCTACCAGTCATAACAAAGGAAGGCGGGCGTGTAGCCCGTGACCACACTTTCAGCCATGCGCATGGCCAGGGCAATTTCTGGGATGTCTCAGGCTTTATAATTGGAACAATAAGCCATAAGGCACTGTTCAATAGTGCCATTGTGGCACTCCACCATTTGCCGGGCAGGGCGGTATGGAACTGTGTGCCGGTCTTGGATGTCCCAGTGTTCAAGAAGGACCTTCCCCAACCTGTTTACAAAGCGCTTTCCATTGTCACTCGAAATGGAGACAGGTGTGCCATGCCCACGGAGAAAGAAGTAACTGAGGAGGAGAAACTCCCAGGCCACATGGGCACCAGAGGGCGAGGGCGACATGATAGCGTCACGGAGCGATGTGGTTTATGCCAACTCTCAGCAGATGACGCTTTTGACCTGTTGCCATGCGCTTGTATGGACTGCGCTTCTATGGGCTTCTATGGACGCGACGCATAAAATGCGCTTCTATGGACGCGACGCATTAAAAGCGTGATAGCGCCCCGAACACCTTAAAAGTTTTGAAATTTTTGCGAGTAACATGAATAACTAAGGGTTACAAATGTTTCAGTGGGAGTTACTAGCCAAGGCTGAGACTAAATTGGGAGAAGTTTTTGAAGCA